AGCCGGGACAGCTGCCCCAAACTAGCCAAAGGGATATTCCATACCATAGAACACCGTGCCCAGTAAAGAAACCGGGGGGAGTTGGCTGGGAGGGGGCCGATCACTGCTCGGGGATTGCTGCTTGGGCATTGGGTGGTGAACAATTGTACTGCGCATCACTTGTCTTTCTTGGGTTTTATTCTTCTGTTCTATTCCTTTTATTACTACTATTATATTTTATTATTGTTAGCATTTTATTTTACTTTAGTTATTAAACTGATCTTATCTCACCCCACGAGTTTTTACTTTTTTTTTTTTTTTTTGATTCTCCTCCCCATCCCACTGGGAGAGGGGAGAGGACTGAGTGAGTGGCTGTGTGGTGCTTAGCTGCTGGTTGGGGTTAAACTATGATACCTCTGAAAGGGGACGTTTCCTGATTACCTGGCAAAAATTCTTCAAACCAAACTCTTAAGGAGGCTGCTAAAAATGTTCCTGCAGTGCTGGGGATTTAAGATTTTGACAAGAAACACTTCTCTGAAGAAAAGTTGTGATCCTAACACTTGCCATGCACACTAGACACCTGCCAAGGAGCACGAAAAAGCCTAATGCAGCACAGGTGCCTGAACTCCCCATGCACCACTACACAGGATCCTACAGGGACTGATCCTGGTCCAGGGACGTCCATAAGCAGCCCAGAGACTTACCCCCACTCAACAACATGCGACTCATAGTCCCAGTACTCCCGCGGTCTGTGTGTGTTCACATCCGTGTAAACTCTGGCCCTGCTCGGCACGGGTCCCGACATATCAGACAGGTTGGCAGGCAGAAATGATGCGATGTCTGAAATCAGAGGCTACCTGAACTGCAAAGCTGGACAGAGGATAAAGGCCTCAGAGTCTTCCACCTGTAGAGAGAAAATAAACCAGAGGTTAGAATCTCAAGATACTATAGAAATATTTAAGTTAATCATTAAAAGCTGCTGAGAAGGAGAGGCTGGAGCCCAGCCACGAGCGTGGGATCGTTTGTCAGAGCTTGAAAACAATTTGTCTGCTCTCCCTCACTCAGGACACGACCACTCGGCCCCACTAGCAAAAGTAACACCCCCTCCTGGACCTTGCAATTTTCAGCATGTAGTTTACAACTTACAGTTGCAAACATAACTTTCTAAAAGGGAAGAAATGCAATGTGCTCTATATCTGCAGACAGACTCCTTCCTTTCATCTCCAGAGTGAAAGCAGCTGCCATCGGTTGCAATCTCTTCCCTATCCAGGACGAAGCCTTGTGCCATCCCATGTAACCAAAACACTTCATAGGGTTGCACAACTATCACCTCTTGCAATGCACTAATAAACAATGCTGCAAACAGAGCTGACATCAACAAGGTCACCTGTGCAACCTAAATTAAGCACTTTCTGAAGTTTCGGTTTCTGGAAACATGAATTTTCATTCGAATCAGAACTTTGGGATTTACTTGCAAATCTTAAAAGGACTGAAGCCTTTCATGTGTTCACACACAAGGTTTTGTGTGGCTACGTTCATTCACCCTGTGGAAAGAAAAAAATAAACCTGAACTGATCCACCACTACTCAGCCCTTTCCTTCCACTGGAAAATGCAGGCACTAACTGAAGCATTTATGTACAAAGCAAGGCTGGTCAGCTCAGGAGCACGTTTCTGGAGGAGAGAAATCCAGACACTGTGTCAGAGGATGAATCTTCTCAGTTTTAAGCACCCTCCCACCCATATATTACTGTATGGGCTTGTATAAAACGGTTTAATGGCATTTCAACACTGTCACCCACGCTGCTTTCCCCACAAAATAAAAATTTAAATGTATCCACCTGAAAGCAGTGACAGGACCAAAACGTTATCCAAGGATAACATTGCTGAAGTCTGAACATCACACTGGGGATTTTCGCAGTACAACACTTTTTCCATTTCCACATATTGTGAAGGCGGCTTTTGCTACTCTGTTCATGCCCTCCAGCATGAGCATCTCATCCCATCATCTCACAACAGATACCTTCTACATATAACGCACTGCCCACTTGAAAGTGAGCAAAGGCAACCACCGAGTCTTGTCTCTGGGCTTACTTAAGGAAAAAAGCAGCACCATGCTGTACAATGCAATTAAGTCCTCGCACAGACAACAGCATTCTCCAGAGATGTAGGACACACAGTGATAAGCTACATCCACACTAATTAGAATATCACAAGGAAAAGTACAACCCCAACTAGCAGCAAGACAAGAAAGGACATCTGGAAGATCTCATAGAGGCCAGTCACTACGAACCATTCAGGGATTAAATGGTTTGAGGATGCTCGGAAGACTTCACGACAAACCGAGGCAGCCAGAAGAGTTCTGCTCGGATGGGGCACCAGTTTTGGTCACAACTTTCTATAGTCAATCCACTAAACCCGAGTGTCCGAAAGACAGCGGCATCTGTGTTGGATTATGATGCTTTACCCAGACACGAAAGAAAAATTCTGCTGCAACAGTCTAAAGATGTTTCTTTGCATTCTGCTTATCCAAAGGTTCTGGTAAGCACCTCCACTTCTTCCTCCTTACAGTGTGATTTTTGTAAAACTTCTGTTAAGTGTTATCAGTATCTAGACTAGTCAAAATAACTCAAAAGAAAGTTACTGTGTGTCGGAGACAAATACTCTAATCTCTGAATATTTAAGACAACAGTGACTTACTACAGTTTTGTATCAATATTGTCCTACCTAAAATAAAAACAGCGCCTTTTCACCTCTCAAACCTTTCACGAGTGAAAGCCGACACATTTTTAAACATTTAAATACAAGAATCTCTTTGTCAGCTTTCAAAATAATGTACAAGGACAGAAGCCGTATCAGAGCATGAGAGAGTATTGTTTGGTGTGTAGCATATGGCAGAGACTATACAGCCCTGTTTACAGAAAGGCGCTTAATCAGTGGGCAATGCTATCATCTAAACAAATATAACGTACTTATTTGCTATGCCAATCTTATCCCTTCAGAAAACAGGCAACTGCCAGACGGCAGGAGGAAGTAATTGCTCCATTAATGAGAAGTTAATCAGAAAGACCTAGAAATCTCCTCAGAGCAATTAGGTCAGGCTATCAGGATACGTCACACCAGAAGAAAATTCTAGAAGCAAAATCCTGCTCTATTGGCAGTGTCCTGTCATTTATTTGAGGTCTGCAGTACCTTTGTCTGCTGCAAGGACCACAGCAAGAACCACTGGCTATGAAGATGGTGGAGGACCTGGAGGACACAGGTCTGACGTCCTTCACCGTCTCACACAACTTGGCCAGCAGCCGGTTCTGCGTTCGGAGGCAGAAACGTACATGAGGTCTCTTTCTGGCGTGGACCGAGCCTCCTCACGTGGTGCGGACCTTGGCAGTGTGGGGTTTTTGACCTACTGACACACAATTGGTGTTGAAGGCAGCTCCAGGTAGACAGGGTTGCAGTAATCCAGCCCCAAGGTTAAAAAGGGATATGGCACTGTTCCAAAGTCCACAACGGAGGTGTGACCGAGGCCTCAGCCCAATAAAGGGAGGATGGGGCACTTGAACAAACGGAAGAATACAAAGTATTACGAAAAAAAAAAGTCTATTCCTGGACAAAATGTTACTCCTCTAACAAAATACGCTTTCAGAAGATTAGGCAAAACCATTTACGTGGCATGACTCAGACACTTTGAAATGAGATGTATATTCCAAAAGCGTACTTGGGCATTAACAGAGCATGTAAGTTTACTAGAACACTTTCAGTACAGTGAAATTTATTAGATTTCAAAGTCTAATCACTGTGTTTTTGTTTCTCCTCATTCCATGTGCTTCTGGCAGAAGATGCACTGGCTAATTTCCTCTGCCCGACACTCCTTCCGTAGGAATTAACTGAACCTATATACGTCTAAGATGACTTAGCAATTTTAATTTTTAAGCACAACTAGGTACCAATAAAGAACACGTGACTGCTCCACCTCATCCAGCTTAGCAAGATCAGTTTCAGCACAGACAAAAATAATAAAAAAGAAAAATAAATGACATTATCCAAAGACAGATCAAATTTCACAGTAGATATTTTTTGTCACATAGCTCTAGCCTCGCACAAGCTGTATGTTGTAACAGACTGCTCAGAGAAGGGCTTTGTCAGGAAATCATCGACTGCAGCTTCTAAGAATGGCACACAATGCCTATTTATGACAGTAGGTATTATTGTCTGCTGTTCTTTCCACAGGAAGAGGAGAGAGTCTGCACAGATAATCTGGTTTTAAAGCAAACAAAGTTACATACATATACAAGCTTACCCTGCCTGAAAGCTTCTCACTCTCTCTGCTCAAAACTGCTAAGGAATTTGTATATATTCTGCTTTCTCTGCCCCTAGAGGGGGATAATTTTGCAGTGGATCCAAGCCCTTTGACAGAAGGGACTGACACAAATAGAGACAAGTAATGGGGACAGGTGTGGTCATGCAAGTCAGTTTAGTTTGCAGTTTTAAGGCAGAAAATCTACAGTCTGAGCAGCGATTACACCTAGATGAGATGAGTGTCCTGAGCTTGTCATAAAAGAGGAGTTCTATTTCTGCAGAATCCAAACAGAACATGTCATTTATTAATTCCTGCATTAATGATGGAATCATAGAATAATTTATATTGAGAGAGACTGCTAAAAGTAATCTAGTCAAAGCAGATCTAATTAGATCAGGTTGCCATGTCCAGCGTAGTCTTGAGCGTCTCTAGAAAACACAATGCGTCTCTGAAAATTTTAATTTCTCTGGCAGGGAACTGCTTAACTAGAAAACACAACCATGAGCTTTTAGGCACTATACCAGAGGTCACAGATAGAGGAAGACAAAGCTTCCAGTTACCGGCTGACACACGCTGTTCAATGCTAAGGCCTGCCTGCGCAAGGACAGAGAACGGGTCCTTCTGTTCTAGCACTCGTGGTGACACCCCTCGGGAAGACATTACTGAACAGCACTCACACGGTAGCTATAGCGAATGGGCACCACGCAAAAGTTTCAGTGCTTGGTTTTCCCTTAAAAACGACATTTAGGTATGAGCAAACTGATAATTAGCTAATCTCTTCCACAGCATCCTTATCAAGAGCACCCACAGGACCCTGTTCATCCTGTGTACAAAAAAAAAAAATAAATCACAAGAACATTGCCAAATACAGCACTGCATGTACTACTGATAATTACTCCACAGGAGTGCCTGAGAGCCCCAGTCAAGAGACAAAACCAATTGTGCTACCACCACATAGGAATTTTTTAATTGGAAGGTCTATTAATTAAGAGAGATCAGCTCTTAAAAGTTTGAATTATTCTAACAGTAGCCTATTGTCTGACCAGCTTGGCAAACTGGACTTTTTGTGCCTAAAGTTCAATAAAATGGTAAAAAGCCTCTCAATGTTCACTTTGAATTTGATTTTTAAAAACATTTTAATTTAAACCACAGTTACAAACCCCCTCCTTTTTAAAAAGGGATTTTATCATCCTTACAATGCACTCTAACCCCAAAGGCAACCTCCACCCCCACAGAGGACTTGATTTCTTGGGAAGTATCCATACTTACAGCACCTATACCCAATTAGGTTAGGAATTTCCTACACCCTCTGTTGTTCCAGACGTAACCACTTACGGCACGTATCAACAAAACACAGCTAACTAATCTACACAAATTAGTTTGCAAAAGGCACGTACTTAGCCTCTAGTAAAACTCGCCTCTTTTTTTTAAGTCAAGAATAACTGAGATACTGGAATTTTTTTTCTCTTCTTTTAAATGGCAATGTTTTTGGCACGGAGCTTGTCTCAAGCACACGGTTACTCACTCAGAACCTAAGAAACTGCACCAGTATGACGCAGTGCACAGACAGACTCCCAGTGAGCTGGGAGCCAAGAGCTTCGCAGAAGACTGGTGTCCTGAGGAACCTGCAAGTGCTATCCAAGTCATGACCTTTGTGGATAAGGTTTGGAGTATAAATAATGTACCCAAGAACACGAGCACCGCTTGACACTGGCCTTCCCGTGGATTGCTGCTAACAGCACAACTTGTCCTCAGCGTGAGCAGTATACTGCTGGGCAGTTCCAAGTTCCTCCAGACAGAGCAGAGTGAACCCAGCGAACTACGTCCAACACCACATAAACATGGTTATTACCAATGACCCACCTGAACTCAGACTCAGTTAGCAGAAAGCAGTTAAGACAGAGAGTAAGACAGGCCCCAAATTGCACCAAGCCAAACTCAAAGAGCCAAGAAAATCTTTCCGTCACTTTATCAATTCTAGATGGAGCGTCCCAGACAACCTTATCTTCCTCTCGAGGAGAAAGCAAGATGCACAGATTGGTCAAACAGGTCTACAGACCCTCCTCTCACTTCCACTTTCCCCATGTAAGCTCATTACCAGCGGCGATTGTGACAGACTAAGACTGTAAACAGGCTAAGACAGACAGCAGCCAGTTCATTTTGAAAAAAGAAAAGCTCTCTGTCAGCTGAGAAGAGCAGAATTACAGCAAGTAGTCTGGAATCAAAAGGTTATTCCTTTCTTTTATCCACAACTGCAAGCGAGACATTACCTTTCATGGTAATGGCTCAAACCCAACCTCTGAAATCATGAGTGTATAGCGTGCTTTATTAGTGAGAGGAAGCATTACAATCATCACATCAAACTGATTATGATTTCCTCCACATAGCCTATTTATCCCTCACCTGTAAGCCTCCCAGGAAAGGAGCACTCGCTTCTTCAGAGTTTGGAGAATATCTAGTACTAGATAGACACCACTGACATTAAAAGATCAAGACATGCTTAAATTCTACACTACAGCCTGTGGGCATCCAACATTAACTAAAACTCAGCTTACCTTTAACAGAAGAAATAAAAGCAACCAACTTTATACAAAATATGCTCTTTCTCACAAAAGAAATCTGATTTCCGTATTTTCATGATGCTGGAACTGCAGCAACACGAGTATGGAACAGATGACCTCCAGAAGTCCCTTGCAACCTATATTTTTCTATGATTTTATAGCTGAAATAGGAACAAGCCTGGATTAACAAAACTGACATTTTACATCCTTTCCTGGAGACCATTTACCTACTAAAGGGACATCATGAATAGAAAAGCAGATTTTAAAATCTAATGGAGTTTATAAAAAGGCTTAGGTTTGAAATCAAACTTTTCTCTTGGTATTTTTTTGGAACAGCACAGTCTGCTCTAACTACATTTTTCCATCAAAATTATTTTCCAGATTTCTTTTAAATAGCTGATTGGGTCCGGCTGCGGAGAAATAACAAATCATAATATATAACAACCTCAATATTCTCTTAAAAAAGAAACAGGAACAGTTGTGATTAATTCAAAACAAGACATGACCGGTCACTAGGGGAAACAGTTGACAGGTTTAGTTAAATTGGAAGAAACATCTTGGAGTAATTCTCTACTAGCAACATCCTAAAATTTGAGACTGGTTCTTCCTTCAACAGCTTCACTGATTCCTCCCCTGAATTCCTCACAGCTCCTGCCAATGAAGAAGTCATCCCTTGTAATGAGAATGACAATCTCTATGGAAGTCACAAGACCTACCATGAAATAGTTTTACTGTAACTCCCTATTTTATGATAACCACCACTGTCTTGGAGAAAACTTAACTCTCCCACTTCCCAAAGGCAGAAAGCAGTGTCTATCCCATCTGACACTCTCCAGGTTGCCCTGGCAGTATCAATGGTTCCTGCACGTTCTCCCAGCAGAAGTTCTGTCACAGTTAGTCTTCATTTTTGTTCAGATCTGTAACAGTTAAATTTTAGCAGAGCTTACACAGACCCTCTACGGGTCTCCAGCACCTCAGCCTAGTTGGACAACTGTCCTTTGCAAAACTTCAGTGTTGGCAACAGCACAGGTACCTGGGGCAGAATAGCCAGAATTTTCTCCATCAGCCGGAAGCTACCAGTGATGGGAACGCTCCTCACTCCATCTCCTAAGGGATTTTATACAGAACAGTCAACTTTGAAAGTTCTTCTCTTCCCACTTCTCCCCAAAAATCACAGGCTCTCCTTTGCATTTTGAGACCTAAGCTAGTCCACAGCACAAAGAGCAAAGGGAAAGCTTTTCCTAACGCAGAAATACCAAGACCGATCTTGGATGAAGCTGTGCAGCCGCAGTGGACAGTGACACCAGCAAGACACCCAAGCCCCAGCAGTCGAGTGCAGGCTCTGCATCCCTCCCATGCCTGCGGCTCCTCCTGTCACCATCCTCAGCCTCCCCCAAAGCACAGCGGATATCCCTACTGCCAGCGCTGAAGGCTCCTGACACAACCAAATAAAAATGGCTGCAAACGTAACCAGGAATTGCCAAACCAAGCTGTCAGTACACACATACCAAAACAGAAACTGATGTGACAATACTCTTCTGCTGGCATCTCCTCCCTGCCCTGACAGTTCAGGCTGAGTAGGGAGCGCAGGAAAGGCGGTGGGGTTTTTTTGGAGGCACATCTCTTTAGGTCTGACCTAAAGCCAAAGCAAGAGCACCTGCAAGGACTTCAACGGGAAGCGATTCTTCTTCCTCTAAGAGCATTAACAAAACTAAAGCTCCTACTGCTGGAGCTTTGGACAGTATTTTCCAAGAAATGGATTACCAAAACTACCGTTTCAGAGATCCCAGTAACAATAGGTAACTCTTCCTGAAGGCTCACGAAAGGGAATGTTTCAGCACCACTACAGGCTCTACACAGCTGACATCAGGTCAACTGGCAGTATCCTCTGGAAAGTTCTACCTTCCTAATTACTGCTAAGAGACACAGTTGTTTTCCTCATTAATTAGTACAGGCAGAGTACTGACAGGCCAATCGTTCATGACTCTTATGGTTCATGTACAGAGAGTGATCAGCTAGAATTCAGACAACTGAACTGTACCTACCATCTGTAAAAGCTACACATTTTCAACTGATCCGATCATGCAATTCCTAGAGGCAGGAACAGTTACCAGAGCCAAAGGACAAACCGGTGTACATTGCATGTGACTATTTCTTCAGGAAATGCCCATGATCAGCTGTTCCCAAACCATCTTCACCCTTCAGCTGGCATCCAGACGGCTCAGCAAGAGATACCCCATGCAAACTCCTGCCAGAAAGTAGAAGTTCTAAAATAACTCTCTAAAAATTCATCATTATTAACACAAGATGAACCCAGCTACAACCGTTCTGAAAATCGAATGGAAAAAACCAGCTATTAAACTCCAGAAATCAGTACCTATTACGCACTGGGCACTCTAACACAACACACCAAGTGCTGGGTTTATACAGCTACAGTCAGACAGGTAGCTCTCCCGGACATTGCAGGTGATGTAAACGTATTGACTAAGTTTTTAATATTTCACACCAATGTTCTGGAGATTAACTGAGGCCTGGGGACCACGGCGTTCATCACTCGGTGCAACGCAGCGGGGACACGAATGCTGAACCCAACCTCCCCAGGCCAAACAAACCCACACCGCTGCTGGCCACATACAAGGACAAGTTTGTCCATCTCCACAGCATCTTTCCTCACCCCTTGCTATCACCCAGTAAAGCCACTGCGCAGCATTAAGTCATGGCTTAGGATGAGTATATATTTATATGCCTGCTAAGATGCGTATGTTGGACGTATGCCTGGATGCCATACGTTCTAAAATACCAAAACTTTTAACTCTAATTTGTAAACTCAGTTGAAACCAATCTGGATGCTGCACAACTTCTTTAGTGAGCAAAAAGCCCCGCTTTTCCTTCTGGAGTACAATCAAAGTGGTGCTTAATCTGCAGAAGGCAAGGCTGGAATTTAACAGCACACTGGTAACAGAGAAATCTGTGACGAAACTTGTAAGAGAAGGAACATTGCAGGAGCTCCTGCTTTTCTACACTGGAAATTAATCTGTTGTGCGCGTCCACACTCATCCATTTTCAGAACACTAAAAATAAAGATTTACTGACAACTCATGCACACATGTGCAAAGATGCGCTGACAAACTGTCTTCTCCGATGGCTTTGGGAAGAACATGTGAGAGGCACCATTTCACCTCCCCGGACATGCAGGGGGACTTTGGAGGCACTTCTTCACAACATGGCAAGACCTCTCTCACCCAGCGAAAGCAAGTTCTGGCACGTAATTCTGCATTAACACCGCAGAACACATTGAACTCTCCCTACACTCAGCTTAATTAAAAAAAAGATGACTTTACCCTTTGGTTGTTCCAGAAGGTGCAAGGGCAGATGCCTACTTCTCTGCAAAAACAGACTGAATAACTTCATTTTTCTAGGACTGCTGTTAACACTGGAAGACACTACTACCCCATTGGCAACCTGCAGCCAAATTCCACCTTGGCCCCAAATTATGTTCCACTTCCATCTAGTACACATTTTATTCACGATTCACTTCAAGTAAATTGCTGTAATACAATCCAGCCATTAGATTAAGCAGCTGGACAGTCTGCTTTAGCAAGTGCCTCCCTGCAAACAGTAACATTACTTAAAAATTAGAAATCGGTCATAAGGAGGACATAACCTAACTTTCAGAAATAAACTCTGTGGAAAATTAAAATTATTGAAATTGTAACCTCCAAATATGAGTCTGTGGTGGTACTGAGTCCGCAAAGAACTCCACGTCTCCCTTCTGCTCTTCAGCTTCCCAAAGTAGCAGCATGAAAAGGATAACAAAATCATTTGTTTGAATAAACTGTCCAGAACAGTCTGAACAAAGGAGCAGGTAAGATTCGTGTCACGCTCACGTTGCTGCTCCTCTACTGCCGACACCTGACCAAGAGAAGATATCCATGAATCATTGATCCTATGACCACATCAACAATCCCATTTCTTATCAACCTTTCCTACCCACAGGTGGGTTTGGCACCTTGATGGCAAACGGGGTCCAAAAACCAGCTTGTAAAAACACTCTGCTTTCAGCAACAGCACTAACACCAGTTCAGAAAGCTGCAGTCTCCTCTTCAAAGCAGTTTTTCTAGGTCCAAAGGAGAGCTCCTTTTCTCCAATTAGGTTCTGTAAATTCCGGGAAAGTCAGCCCTTGGAAGCCCCTGGAAGGAGATATCCAAGCTCAGAAAAACTATCCAAGAGTTCCCCTGCAATCAAAACCAGATAAAGTTTGTAGCCAGATCGAGTCATAGCAGTCCCTCCCGATATTAAAATCTGTGGGGTTTATACTCTCAAGAGCCTTATGGGACAATAAAATCTAAGATGGCATCAATCTCACCCAGATAGTTTATAAAACAGATACCTTAATGCAAGTAAGTCAATAACGGAGGAACAGGGCAGGTGACAGGTCTGGTAACCCAGAAATAAATATCCCTGCCTCTTCAGAAATGTGACATGAAATTAATTACACCACCACAATGTCACCCATTTGCTTCTCCTGTCTTCCTTT